GTGAAAATAATTTGCTTGTTCTTTCACCTGCACACCTTAGAAGGTGAGAAAGCGCAGGTGAAAAAACTTGCTTCGTTGGGAGTATTTCTTGCTTTGGTAAAATGTTGAAATATATTTTCAGAAAAGGTAATAGGTCGTGAAAAATTTAAGGAAAACTGAATTGCAGCATATGTAGTGGTCCTAACTAGTTAGAGGTGTGCAAATGGAAATTCTGAATATCGATATAGTAAAATCGATATTTTCAAAGGGATCTTTCCATTTGAGTAACTAGTCAAAAGCTGTATTTAAAAAAGAATTCAAACTGCGATATTTTGTAAAGCAATTAAGATGTTCCTTAATTCGATTAGGTTCTTATGCTTTTAGTAGCTGATAGAATTATAATAGATTTTTTTTTATGAAATTGAAAACTTAGTTTTTTTTTGTATTGAATAGTTATAGATTTTTTTTCTTAAAAAGTTATCAAATAAAAAAGTCTTATTTTATTATGTACGTATTTGTTATGATAGAAATTGATGCTTTCAAGAAATGAAAATGAAACTTTGTTTTCGAATTTTTTCTGTGTAAAAATTTATCGGTTTTTCTCATTGTAAATGCAACGATTTTTTTATGGTAAACGTAATGAAATCGATTATAGTTAATGAAAATAAATTGACTAAAAAAATTTTCCAGATTTTGTTGTACCGATTTGCTACCAAGGAAATGTTAATAGTCATTAATATCGAAAATGATCTGTTTCAGGAAACAAAATTGAAACTGTGCTATCAATAGCTTTTCCTTCTAGAAAGATATTGCCAAGTTATCTTCTATTTTTTATTGAAAAGTTATCGATTTTTTTTTGTCATTGTAAACTTATAGATATTTTCCCAATAAAAAGTTATCGATGTTTAATATTAGGAATATTTTATAGTTTAGAAAATGAAGGAGAGTATATATGTATAACTACAAAATGAAATCGAGAACAGAATTGATATTAACGAATCCGATGTTTTTTTAAAATGGAATGAAAAAAATAAAATTTGCCAGCGATTTTATTTATAATATTAATTATCGATTTTTTCTGATTGAAAATTTGACAATGCGCTTTTTTCTTATAGAAAAGTTATCGATTTTTGTTGTTGAAAATGATTAGATAATTCGCCACTAAAAGGTTGTTATCGTTTTTTAATATTGGCCATAGTTCATAGTTAATAGAATGAAAAAGAGTATACGTATGTGTATAACTTATAAAATGAAATCGGGAACAGAATGCAATTATCAAATCCGATGTTTTAAAAAATGGTAGGAAAAAATTAAAATTTGCCAGCGATTTTTTTAAAAATTATAAATTTTTTCCTATTGAAAATTTCCGCTTTTTCTTATAGAAAAATCATTTATTATTGTTTATTGAAAATATATCGATTTTTATTGTTAAACTATTTCATATGTAGTTATAATAACAAAGTCGATTATAACTCAATGAATTAAGGCGATTACTTAATAAAAAATATAAAATTTTTGTATAAATACTAGAGTGTCAGTTACTGTCGTAATTCGAACGTTTTTCTAGTTTTTAAGAGCCTTGGAAAGGGTTTCTAACTTAGAACGTATCTAAGCTTATAAGCTACAAAGTCACTTACCGGAAAATCTTCTGCTTTGGAACTAAACCGTGACCACAATTTTTTATATCTTTGAAAGTCCTTGGAGAACTTCGGCAGGACTTGGAATTGACCCGATACATTCCAGTTTATCGATAAATTTCAATGATTTGATACATATCGATAATTCGATGAAATTCAAAACACTAAAATCCGATAACTCAACGATAATTCAACGAAATTCGTAACGAACAAATAATACTGCGAAATTCAAGGGCTCGATAAATTTCTATAACCCAAAAGTGTATATATCGATATAAATCGATAACTCGATACACTTTGAATGCCTTTATACATTTTTAATTTAGACAGCACCATATTTTTCGAAAGCTGTCTACAAATTTCGGTAACTTGTTTCATTCTGTTAACACGATAAAATTCGATAAGCAGTGATAACTCGATAAACTTATATAACTTAGAAATTGCGATAAATCGATATATTTTGAAAGTTCCATAAACTTCGATAGACCAATTTCAGTAGATAATTATCGATAACTTTGTAAGTTGAAAGAACTCGATAGGCCATACGATAACTCGATAAGTTTCGCAAAGTCTAAAAATAATGATAATTCAATAAATCTCGATAACTTGATAAATTTCTTTAATTTGACAAATTTCGATAATCCCATAAATTTTTATAGCTCGATAACTATTCGTAAATTTTGCCAACTAAGTTTCTGTGTCTACAAATTTCGACAACTCAATAAACATTGATCAATTTGAATAATTCGATACGTTGCGATAACTTAATAAGCATGGTTAAATTTTGATAATTATTAACTTCGATGAGTCGATAAATTTCGGTAAATTTTATGACGAGTTCGTGTCAACTACTTTATACAATTTTCTTTGAAGATTCGTAAAAAAATCGTTACAAAAATGTAGATACTCCTACAGATTTCGTTAAGATTTCGGGAGCTTTGTGTTTGCAGGGAATACACATTGCACATATGTATGTAAATATATATTTCCCCAGCTCTGCTAAGTTATAGTTTGAGCGCGACTTTTGATACTGTTAATTTGTTTCGCGCTCCTTCTTCATTCTTCATTCGTAGGGTCACATATGTGCATTTAAGTTTTTTTTCACACTGGTTTTGTTTTGCAAATTCTCAATATCGATTACTATTTATTTTCCATGCGTTTGCGCTTTTTACCGCTGCTGGTGCTGCCCTTCATCACTGTCATTGTGGGCTGTTAGCAATTTTTCTTTTTTGGTTTCATAAAATATAGTGTACGGTTCTTCTCACTTTCGCAACATGCTAAATGGCCATCGATTTTTTTTTTATTTCACTTTTCAATCAACACCCACACATGCACACTCAAATGCACGTGTAAGTGGGGGAAAATACTGCTGAAACCAGCTGGTTGTGCCTATGGCAGTATATGCGACCAGAAAATGCACATATATTCGTACATATTTACAAAAGCGCAACGGACTTGGTTTGGTCTGTTCTGGGTGGTAATGCTATGAAGTTTTACATGTGAGTCGCTTTTAGTTTTAAAAAAGCATTTATACCTACGTTCGAAATGGTTGAGAATATATAAATTTTTGTAAAATATTTATGGGGACGGTTCTTAATTAGATTGTTGGGTAGGGCATCAAAAACATTAAAGTTTATGGGGTGGAACATTGAAACTGCCTTATAAGTTCAAGAAGATCGACTTTGAGCCCCCACTGGGAAGTGGGTTTCTTCGACAGAAAATATTGAAAAATTGACGTCGTCCTAAGCGAAGATTCCAACAGTCAAAAATGGCTCAAACAAATCGACGGCCAATATTCAATACCGCCTATCTGCAATTAAAAAAAATAGATTCTGACATAAAAATTCATCTGGAACTTAGTTGTCATCGGTGTATTTCAAAGTTAAACTTACTTTTAGAAACATGAAACGTAACTAGCTAATTGTGAAACTAGCCATGGCTAAATCTCTGTGGCTAATGAATCTGTAGCAGTGGTATTGAGACTCTCTTCAAGACAAATACTTATGTATATACAAATACAAAAAAAAAAATCATTTTGGCACTTTGTGAAACATGAAAAGAAGAGATGGTCAGGAATTCAGACTTTTAAGGTAGCGCGCGAGCTTTGGCATTCGTAGGACAAAGACAGTGAATAAGCTACATAAATTGGCCAAGAGTAGAGGTGTAGCAGGATTGTAGCAACTATCAACCAATTGTCGGTTGTTAGGAAAAAATGCTTCTGGAAAATGGAAAATGCCGCTGTTGTTATTTTAACGGAAACGAGAAAACTGTAGTTAGTTTCCTGTGCAAATGATAATAAAAACTTGTTCATGCATTAACCAAAACCATATCAATCAAAGTTTGAAAATTTAAAAAAATTCGACAAATTTTCATTAAAATTTCGAATTTTGCAATCTGAATTTTTAGAACATTTTTGGTTCTGCACTTTTATTGCCTGCCCATAATAGTTAAGTTACAAGCGGCTGATTTTAAAATTTTTTTTTGCTGACGAATTTTCAAAGATTTTTCTTATAAACATGAATTCCTTCAAAAAATCAACTGTTATATAAAAATTTATTGAAAAGTTTGAAATTTTAATGAAGAACGGACTTTGACGAGATTTTCTCTAATATATTCTGTATTGATAGGAGAGTGACTTTTTAAATATATAATTTTAATAGGGTTGCCACCTGTTAAGAAAATTACTATGTTCAATTTTAATGAGCGTAGGCGTCAGTTCTGCACCGTCATTATCAAATGAAAAGATTTAGCCTCTGGATGTGTAATAATGTATTATTTTTCTGAGTAGGGGGCAACCCTGTTTAAAAACTATAAGGTCTTCACCGTCCGTTGGATAAAAAAATTAGATACCAAATGAAAGTGCATGGCCTTCGCATGTACAAAAACATTAAGTCTTTTGAGTAGGGTTGCCACCTATTTAAAATTACTATCTTCTATACATAGTATAAAGAAAAGGCGAGAACGGATGTAAACAAGATTTTTTATGTATATAATAAACGAAGTACATGATGACATATGCTTTTTTTCTCTAAATACGTAAATGTACATACATCAAGCGTTATATAAAAATTTATTAAGGAGTTTGAAATTTTGATGAAAATTTTTTGAATCATTCAAAATCTTGTAGAAATTATGAAACTTTGGTTTATATGGTTTCAGTTAAAGCAAGAAAAATAGTTTCACAAAAAGTAACAGAATAAATTTTTGACTTGAAAGCCTTGTGCAAAAAAATATATAAGACTTGCGAACACTTCTTTGAGCCACAGTATTTGTTTTGATTTTTCTCTCTCCTTACCTTTCTTCTATACTTTATGCTACATTTTTAATCAACTGAATTTTTACTCAACTATTTTATACTTAAATAACTCCTTTTGCCAAACTCACCATATGAAATCCTTGCAATGTGAACAGAATGTTGGCTGCTTGAAGAAGCGTGGTATGAAGAAATGATCCTTTACTGCAAACACGTTCTTCTTCTTGAGGGCGCCCTTACGTAGGCGTGACTTCATTTTATTTTCACTACCGCCAGCTTCATCCTGCAGCGACTGCTGATCGCCATTGTTGTCTTGCGTTTCGGACATGATGGTTATATTTATTGTTGTTGCTGGTGGGTAATTTTTGTTGTGGTTATTTTGTTTTTTTTTCTATTGATTTCAAGGTTTGTATTGCGCTTAAAAATTAATAAGTTTGTTTATACTACGTTAGTACATATTTACTGCAGTGCATATATACAATTACGTGGTGGAATGTTAGATTTTTATTTGGTTTATTATGTAATTTAGTGAAGCTTTAAACTTTTTCTTGCTAGTACTTAATATTGATTAATTAATGATTTGAACATATTTTCTAAATATTTTTTTATTTTTATTTTTTTCCAATTTTATTTTTTGTTTGTTTATTTTTTTAGTGATATTATTTATTTACTTTTAACAATTAGATTTTGCCGACTTTGAATTTTTATGAACTCTGTTGCTGTTTAAATATATCTGAGATTCTAATTATTTACACTAGTTCTACGTATATGTAATAAAATTTGTTTGACGTATTAAAAAAAAATATTTTATGATTTTCGCTCATAACTTTTCGCTCTGTTGTTTTTTTCAGCTCACTTCACTTTCTTTTTTCACTTTAGCGAAAAATTAATTTACATTTCCCTTATAGACTCTAATTAACTTCTAATGTTAATTTCATTTATCTTTTTAATTAATTTTATTTATTTAATTACGTTTTTTTAGGTTTTTCTTCGACTTATTGTTTTTTGTTTTTTTTTTGTTTGTTATTTTTAATAGTTTTTCTGGCATTCCCTCAAACCATTTGCAATTTTCCTCCTCTAAATACCTTTACGCTCACAAATAAAGCGCCGCATTTATTTCCATCGATTTTGCTGCTAATCGATTTTTGTGCATTTGCTTTTACAATTTTTTCTTTTATTTAATTTTTTTTCGCAATTTTGCTTGCCCATTTCTTTACTTTGCTATTTTACTCGCACTCTCCGACACCTGGTTACAGCGTTGTACACATATCACTATGGTATATTTTATTATTTATTTAATTTATTTGTTTGTGAATATTTGCCTTTTTCTATGAAATTTTTACACATTTTTTCTCCGAAATAAATTCTGTGCTAAGCAGTTTTTATTGCCTACAGCTGTTGTTAAAGTTTGTGGCTTTTTTGTATGTATGTATGTGTGCTTCTACTTATGCTAGATTTTAAGTAATTTCTCCGCTGGTTTTATATGTAGTGTACACCTGTATTTAGTTTTGGAATTTTTGACTATTTCTTATTTTGTTTTTGTTTTCTTTTTGTATTTGTTTATGCTGGTTGGTGATATGTGATTGAATCGGCGGTTTATTTATTTTCTATTTTTACTTGAAAACTGAATGGCTTTCAGTGTTTAATTAAATGCTCCTGAAAGTAAAGAAGAGTTAAAAACAATTGAGTATAAAATCATGTGAGTAAATGCAATGAATATTTTTGGTTATATGTTTTTATTGCATTTCGGATTTTTACTTGCATGCCTTAATGTTTGAATATTTTGGATTGACCTTTTATAAGAGATTCAAGTTCGAATTAACATATCGAGCCTCAACCGACAAAAAGATGTATGTGACATTTTTCCAAAAATTTTCTTTTTGATGCAGAAACGTTCCTAGATCACCTGGATATATTTCTGCATCAAAAATAAAATTTTGAAGAAAATGCCGCTTACGTCTTTTTGGCGGTTGGGGCTCGATATACTTAGACCCAACTCTAAGTAAAACTAGCCGAGCCATATGTGATTTTATAAGCCTTTTTGGTCTAAACTCTAAGTAAATGTAATGGCTATACCTAACGCTCGTATCCTTTTCCAGACAAAAATACTCTATATTACTGCGAAAAATTCCGTTTCTCAGTATTTCCATTTAAGAAAGATTTTTTTTTACGGTGCGAGTACTTGTTATTTTTAGAAACAGTTTTTTAATAAAGTAAAGAAATTTCTGGTAGGCTGCTAGACGTTCTGGTTTTCCAGCATTTGTTCTGCTTACAGACAAATTGTTCTGGCGTCCTGGCACACACTTAAATTGCTGGTTTTTAATGGATGTCATTGCACACATTTCATTTTGGTAGATTTTCGCCATTAAAAAAATTTTAGCTTTATAGTATTAGTAATAAAAAATTGATGACGAAACATTTTTTCGAACATGTTGAACAATATCTGATGAGTGTGCCTTCTTTATTATTCGTTTTTTTTTTTGCTTAAAATCTTACTTTTTATCTTCAGGCAAATGCCAAAAAAAGCGCAAGTTCCTGAACAGGTACCCGGTTGAGTGGCCATATTAAATACACAGTATATAATCTCAAGAGCTAAAATATCTTCGATGGCAAGTGTCCTGGTACGTTATTTTCACGGTAAGGGCGCGATATGCAAGCGGCTTGGAGAAAATAAGAGACCGTCAAATTTTTTTTTTT